CCAAATCTCAGTGCCATCACTGACGGAACTCACCGCGGCTGTGTCACCGTGTAATTTCTGTGCCTCATTTTTTCCGTCCTTAAGAAAGGACATCAAAGGAGGCTGGGGTTTAGGAGCCGTTAGCAACATATGTATATCAATACCCGCATCAGCAAAACACCGCACGCAACTCATCCCGGTAACACAACTTATCAAAGCAACGCTGTACTGGGAAAAACGAGTTTCTCAGCATAACTGTGTGTGCAGCAGGGGGTTTTGCCAATCTCCTCCTACCCTAGACCAACCTAATTAAGCTGCTCGAACCTGTAGCGTACAGATAACCACGGCATCCCACGTGAGGCTCTGCAATAACCCGACGCTGACTCAAAGGCAGCAGCACTGAGAGCACTGCGGATTGTGTGCTCAGCTAACCGAGCGTACTCGGGTATGCTGTCAGGTTGGAACTGAGGTTGATTCTTGCCATCAACCTCCTCCAGCATCTCTGCTTCCTTCTCTCACACATCCCTGCTTTGACTGCAAGCTCCAGGCAGCTCCTGGGAAGTGCTGGCTTCCCCAGAGGTGCCAGCAGTCAGGGTCCAGGCAGACCCTCTGAGGAGGCTGTGATTTCCATCCTCTCATCCCACCGCGCTCGAGCATCAGCAGGGAGGGGGGATCCTTGTAAATGCCTCCAAGGGTCAAGCACAACTCTGCCTTTGATGCTTAATAAAGTTTCGAAATCAAAAGCACTATGTAAATGTTGTTCTCATTATCAGGTAGGTGTGCTCTGGTTTGCTTCCAGGAGAGCTCAGCTGCTGCAAGCGGCTGGTATTAGAAGCAGGTCTGGGATGTTCGACATTCAGCTTTGCAGGGAGAAGACTGACATCCGAGCTTGGCACGCAGCAATGAAAGAGGATGCAATCTGATTTGGCAAATTAGCCCCTGGGATGATGCAGTTGCCATATGTACCTAGGTGCCAAATTTCAAATGGAGCAGAGTGACCTGACCCTGACCTTTGGCTCAGAGCGCTAAATTCCCTCTCCAGGGAGCCTCTCTAGCCTGAAGCGCGTTTCAAAGCTGTGAAGAGAATAAACGTATTCACCTGGGGGATATTTACAGCAGAACATTTGTTTTCACTTACACTGAAATCTAAGGAGAGTTTTGGTAGAGTCCCTGCATGTCATTCATTCCAACAACAGGTTTTGCAACTCGTCTTCTGCAGGTGTCTGAGGCCTGTGCAAATCTCCCCGGCTGACCACAAACATCTGATGAACTCTCTGTTCTAGCCAATAATCTGCCCAACCTGGGTTTTTTTAAACAAAAGCAAACACCGTCTTCTTTCTCGCTGCTTACCAGAGACGTTGCAGCACTTGACGTGGAGGCTTCCAGTTAAAAAGTGTTCTGCTTTTAATAAATAGACTCAAGAAGTTTACGAGCAGCACCGTAAATAATTTAACCTACACTTTCCAGAAACTGAGGTGTTGGTTGTTTTTTATTTATTTTTTTTAAATCCTTGCATTGCAAACTAGTAGTTTGCTAATTAAAAACAATTGCTTAATGGGTCATCAGCCAGAACTTAGCCAGGTTAAACTGAAGAATTAATGTTACCTGCAGGCCACAGCTCCCTGAGCTTCAGACGAGGACTATGGTTCCCAAAACCTCTCTCAAAATACTGTTCCCTGTGCAGGAACACTAAATAAATTTAAGAGAAGGAAGGAAAGGTTCAGAGATGAGGCAGATTCATTAAAATAGTTCTGTAACATAAACCAACATCAGATCTTTACAGTTCAGCTCAGTGGTGGAATGCCACTCACACTCAAAAGGTGACCTGCACGTGGGTTTGCTTTTCCTTGACTTTCACCATTATCACTTCAGTTGATTCCCCTTAATTTTTTTCCTTGCACCCGGATACAGAGGCAAACCCAGAGCCCCCATCAAACGCATGCCTGCTCGTCTGCAAAGCAGTGTCAGTCCTCAATAAACTGCTTTCCTTTTTCTTAACCCACTCAAATACCAGTGGGCTGACAGCTTCCCTGTGTCCTTTCTCTGATTCACGTTCTGCTTAGAAGAGGCTGTAGGAGTAGTCAGGGAAAAGTTGAGAGAAGAGCAGCATCGCAGGCCATGGGGAGGCTTTGGGAAAGGCAGCAGGACAGATAAACCAGGCTTCCATGTAGTCAGCTAGCTGAAATACATCTTTGTTTTAAGGAACTGAGTCACTTCTGAAATGCATCATTTGTTTAAATTACAGGAAATAAAAGGTTTACAACTAGGGATGAGCTTGGCAAACCTTGTTAACAAAAAACAATGGTTTGTAAGATCTGCAGGACCCAGTCTCTGAAAGGCTAATACATCTCTGAAAGCAGCAGCAAAAGGGGAGGGAAAGCTTTGCTGAGCTGCATTTCCATCCAAGTTTCACAAAGAGAACATCTGTTTGCACCCTAAAATACACACAGGCGTTTGATAAACACTTTCTTTCTTCTCAGTTCAGGATGGCTCTTTGGCTCGCTCAAAATGTAACGCCACATTTTATACGGTCTCACCCATTTCAAGTGCCACACAACCAGGCACGGAAAAACAAACGCTTGAAGATGTCAGGTAAGGCATTAAAAGGGGGGCGGAGGGGGATATTTAGTGTTGTCCACACAACCTTAATTTAAACGTCCTTGCATGCTACATCTGCCACCTCCCTCCACACTGCCGGGTGCCACCAGGCGAAGCTGTAAATGCAAAGTGCTCTCTGCTGCAGGGCTTTGCTGGCAGCAAGGAGGGGAACTAAGCGAAAAAGCACCTTGTTCGGTCCCACGCCTCGTGTGCTGCGTGCTCCAGCTGGAACTCACCCAAATCCCTCTGCCTGAAGAAGATGCTCAACAAAGAAATTCACAGCGACAAAGCTTGGCCAGACCGTAAGCACATGGAAGCGAAGCCTTGTGGTATAAATTGTAGGACAGCCTTAACAGCTGGCTCTCCTTCCTGCCCTGTTTACAGGAGGGTGGGAAAGTCCTCTGTGTCCTGTGACTTTGGGAACAGAACTTGCCTCTCAAACTCCCCCAAATAAGCAAGGATAATTTGTGCATCTAGGGTGACAGTAAAGCTTGTCAGTGAGAAGCTTCTAGCAGAGAATGAAGTCAGCTGCACATGACAGAGACAAATGCCATTTCAAGGAAAAAAAATGTGCTGAGATTGGACAAGATTTTCCATACTCATCTTGCCTTTAGAAAATAACCCTGAACTTTACACTTGCAAAAACACACAGAGACAAGCATCTTTTACCTTGTCTTGGCAACCTCAGAAGCACGCTAGGCATAAATCATAGGAACAAACAAAATACTCATAAAAAACCTTCACTACCTGACACAGACCGGCGTAGAGGATGCACTGAAACACTGATTCACGAGCAATACCTCTGAACCTGCTATTGTAAGTGTCATTTCCCGACACCTCCCCGCTCCTACCAGCAGGCTAAAGCAGCAATTAAGAAAGTGGGAGTGCTCTGCAAGCCTTCCCTGCCTGTAACAGACCCACATCCAGCCATTTATTAGATAATCCAATTACACTGATGTGACCTTATTCCGTGCATTTATGTCTCCTCAGACTGCAGGGATAGCCTATCAACCAGGGGGGGTTTCTTACAGCAATTTGCTGATGCAAACCCCTGTTCCTCTAATAACAGAGGCTATTACGAAACACAGCTCCTGCTCCAAACGGCGCTCCTTTGCATCTCCCCTCCTCTCGTGGCTCCCCAGCTGGTGGGAGAGCAATTACGTGCCCAGCTGCACGGGAGAGCAGGCTGAGCACTGCCTCTGCACCCGCTTCTTGCACCCTGCTTCCTTCCAGGCCTCCCCTCGCTCCCCATGAACATCTATGCAGCTACCTCATTGTTCTTTGGCACACGTGCATCCTCTCTGACTTTGTCCCTGTGGCAGGGACAGTGCTTTCACGAAGTATGTAGCCTTGTGTGGCTACAGGTCTTGGCTGGAGCTCTTGGGAGCTTGACTACAGCAATTAATACAAGGGGGATTTCCAGTATCGCCCAGCAGAGCTTTCTTTGGAACCCAGTGACAACGTTGTGACGCTGACTATCACAGCATCTAAACCACAGCCTCTTCTGCAACAAGGGTTCAGAAATCTCTTCTGCAAATACACCCACAAAAGAAACTTTTAAGAACTTGGATTCCTAGGCAATGTGTGAGGCAAATCCCAGCTAATGCTTCATTTGAAACAGGCTCTTTCAAGGGGTGCAGGGCTTTTGCTTGGAAATATGCTGAGGCAGGACCTTGGCCTGTATCCATTGACCTCTGATGACAGAGATTAGATAACAAGCAAATGGAAGTGCTTTCAGCAGTGTTGTTGTGTGCTGAGAGACATAATAAAGAGCATGTATCACGGCAATACTCAGCATATAAAATGTCCTGGAGAGATTACCCAGTGAGAAGAAAGTCTTTGGTATGCCCCTGCTTGTTGCACTGATTTTTCTGACTTACCTGAAGCAAAAAACACTTCCCAGTTCTCTCCTGCTCTGAGAAAAGCTACGGCCTCTGCAGACTCTTCAAGAAACTTGCACTTCCCGATGCTCGAGGGTCACTTCTAAACACCCCTTGCTTTCTTCTCTTCAAGGCTTTTCGCACTATGCTTTGACATTAAGTGCCTGATAAAGTAAGAGCCAAAAGCACAGGAGAGGAATGCCTGCAGGTGTAGGAGCCGGCACATCTACAGCCATGTGAGAGCTATAAACCAAACCAAAACCAGTGAGGGAGTTTCCAAATGCAAAGGGTCACTGCTGTCTAGAGTTTCGTCAGGCAAGAGTTCACAGGCAAGACCTGTCATTAAAACAATTGGCTTTCCTCGTGTCTTTGGCGCTGTTGTGTGACACAGCCTGTGACATTTGGGTTGGATTCAAAATTTTGAGGGATAAGCACTTTGCCAGTCTGTGCTTCCCAAAACACCATGGGCCTTTCTGCTGCAATAAAAGTAACTCACTAATTACTGCTCCTTATTGCCCCAATGCAGCTTGTAAGGCTGGAAATTGTGCCAGATAGGTGAGAAATGTGTATCCAAGGCAGGGTTCGCTTCAGATAGACGCAATTCCCAGTCCAAAATACAAAGCTGTGCAAGAAGCTAAGAGGCTTGCTTCATCAAATAATGCTTTGATCAGCCACAGGTAGAGAAAAAGCCATAGTGCTTGTCATACATGTTTTCTGTCAAGCTTCTGACCAAGTCAGTTTGGTTTCACCCTCCTTCCTTCTCACTGAACACAAATAAGATGACGTAGTTAGGCTTGGGATTGTCTAGTTGCATAACTCTACACCTTTCACCTTGCTGTATCTTAATGTCTCCCTTCCAACCTTTGCCCAGGTTAAAGACGCACGTGAAACCGTGCCCAGGAGGAAGCCCATCCCAGGCAGCTTCTGCAGGAGCAGGCACTAGAGCCTGGTGGTGCTACTGCATTTAGAGGCTGCCACGAGGCAGAAATCCAAAGCTCCTTCCCTCTGCACATCTCCTTCACCAGGGACAGCCGCGGCGAGGAACGGCTCCTTCCTGCGTGAAGCTTTGCTGAGCCCTGGAAACATCACAGCTGCCTTGGTGCCTTGGTGGAGCAGCTGAGCTGCACAGGAATCCCGGTAATCAAATCACGTCGGTGGCTTCAGTGCTATTCCCCCACCAGCGTACGAAAGGCCACCGGGCAAGGATTACCTAGGACGATTTAATTATGTGAGAAAACAGCTGCAAGGCTTTATGGGGTTTTAGGGTTGTTGTTCTTTGGATAGGAGGGGGAAAAGGAGATAGAATCAGGCACGGAGCGAGCTGGTTGGGGATGACCTGTGGTGGCAGAGAAGCACACCCTCAAACACACAAGGCAAAGATTAGGGGCTGATGTATACAATCCTTTTTTTCCTCAAAGGGTTTGCTTTTCATGGCTTGTCACCTGGAACTGGGTCAGTGTGACCCGTTGGGTCTCTCACACTGCCAGCTCATGCTAGGAGGGACCCGCATTCACGTCCACACCCTCCCTGTTGATCAAGTGAAACGGCTATTTTGTCACTATTTACCTATTCTTAACGTTAAGAAACCATGGTGGCCTAAGGGGAAACAGGCTGTATTCTTGCTGATACGAGCTGAAAGCCTGGTCATATTTAAATTAAAGAGAGTTTTATTACTGCCTTCAAACAGGTCAGAATTTCACCCCTGAGAATACAGTGTCTGGAGAACAGCAGGTAGCAAAGTCCAAGGAAAAACTCCCCATTACCATTTAAATCACCTTGTCGGAGATATTTTGCCCTCCTCGATTCCAGTAAAAGGTCTCCCTGACTTTCAAAATGTCTTCAGAGGAAAACAAACCCCCACAGAGAGTACTTCTCTTGGTGTTAACTTTCATAAGGCACGATGAGAGCTCATGAATGCAGTCTGTAAGCTGGTTGATTTAAGGACTCCAACAAACATGTCTCACATAGGAATTACAATGCATGTGGTATTTGCTTGTTTTTGTTTTTATTACAAGTTTATTTCTGGATTCTACTTTGCTTTGTAAGTTATTTTTCTTGCATGACAAGCAACATCCAATTATTCATGCACTGCCTTTTTTGTTTTGTTTTAAGTTGACATTCTGCCCAAGCTGGAGACCACAAGATGCTTACTAGAGCCGTCCTTCTAGCTTCAACAAAGTCTTCTGTGCTGCTGGCTCTTAAAAACTAGCACATACAAAACCAAGACACACAGTGAGTGACATCAGCCACCATTTCCCCTCCACATGTGTGCCTACATTTTCTCTATGTGTGCACAATGGCGTTTTTGACCTGAAAACAATGCATTCAAGGAAAAAATATGGTTTTGTGTGATGGGATTTCCAAGGGAGCCTGAAGGACTTTGGTATCCCAAGACTATAAAGTCCAAAGAACACAATGCTTAACATCTTCAGCCTCCTTTGAATTCTCAGCCTTACTGAACCAAGAAGAAAGAAAGCCTGGCCCATAAGCAGGAATCCACTAATTAAAGAGAAATGGAGCTTATTTGTCTTGGTTTCTGAAGTCACAGTTCTCCACTTCTGAAAACACAAGTTTCTCACCAGTTCTTTTCCGCCCTAGGGCTGTGACCTAAGCAGCTTAAATGATACACAGATTTTGGTCGAAATCTGCTCCTTATTTACTGGACTTCAAATGTGCAAGCAATTACTGAATGGGTCTCGTTTATTGAATAAAAGTATTTAGGCATTATGTTTACAAAGGCCTAAAAACATTAAAATCTAGTGAAAAACAATTATTTTTACAGAATACATCTGCAAGCAATATGAAGTCATTTTGTTTTTGTAAATTTCTCCGTAATAGACTTATTGTTGATGTGGAAAATGTTCACGTTGCAGCAGTGAATTATTTTGAAATGCCAAACTTAATAAAGGAGAAATTATTGCAAATAATATCACAACCCTTAAGGAAAAGAAAAAAAAAAAGCCAAAATACCAGTGGTTTCCTGACTAGTCAATCCTCTTCAGATTGGCAGACCTCTTCAGACTAATCAGGAAGAGTTAGACAAATAGTTACTTTATTACGGAGGCTGTCAAATAAATCAGAATCTGGCAAGCAACTGTTTCTGAGCCCTGCAGCCCGGCTGGCTCTTTTTTTTTTTCCTGTAAAACCAAGGCAGTTCCAGCAGCCCCACGTATGTGTGGATTTGTCTGCAGAGCAATGCGTAGGCTTGAGGCCTCCAAACAAAACTTGTTCCAAATTTGGGCCAGCATTTTTCTTGGCTTCCCCGCGTTTTGTTGTGGAACAGGGCTTGCAGACGAAATGTTTCCTAACCAATTAATTCAGGTCGCTGCTGTTATTTTTAAAGGAGTGCTCTGAAGCTCAGCACACAAAGGGTAATGAGAAAATAACGCTTTAAACAACATCAGAGGAATTAGGCCACAAACTCCAACTACATTATCCAATTCATGCTGCAGAGTTATTTTACCCCCAAATGCTTGCTCTTGCAGGAGGCAGGATAAATGGGGATTCTGCCCAAGGTACAAGCCTGAAACACAGCCACAATGCAGGTCACAGACAGTGATTTTCAGACACCAGCCCCAAGAGGAGCTTGGCTGCGCTGCTGTTCCCTGGGCTCCGAACCCACACCTAGTGCCAGCAGGCTGTGCTGTCTGAGGAGGGCTGCAAACTGAGGTCTCATTTCAGCAGAGCACTGGGCACATTCCTTAATCTGCTGTCCCAGAGCACGGCAGGGTGGGTTCAAAGTGATGCAGAGGAGACCCAGGTACGTAACTGGACTCTAGCATTACCCAGGCAGTCTGCTGAGTAGAGAGAAGAGGAGTGCTGTGTCAAGAAGTAAGCGATAACCTCACCTTTTGGACCTCCATTCAATCCATTTTGTGCTGTTTATCCGCATCGAACAGCATTGATTTAAAAGGCAACCACAGGGCAGAGGGAAGGGAAAAGGAGATAGTGCAGGAAGGGAGGAGGAAAGTTTGAAAGTAACATCCATAAAGAGTCTAATGAACACCGGGGCTTGCAGTCGTTTGAAAATGTTTTCAGATATGGTTGTTAGAGAAAATAAATTCACCAACTGAGCAGCCAAGAATTCTACTTAGAAACTACAAGACTGTCCAAACAAGAACTTCTTCATTTACATGCATGACAATGCAAACTGGCAGCACTGACAGATCAGGTAAAACACTGGCGATGCTCCAGGCTTGCCAAGAAGATGGGATATAATAACTTCTGAGGCTAATAAGAGGCCTTAAAAACAAACTTTTTTTTTTTTTTTTGCACTGTACCACACTGAAAGCAACAGTGCAGATGGACTTGCACCTGTCTCCAGATGAAACCAGTAGCTAGTGCAGTGCTATTCTTAATATGAATTAACTTTTAATACAGATCTGCTTTCGTTCTAATTGACTTTATAAAGCTACTAAAAATAACCATTCATCTAGCCAGCAGGCATGCTTTTCCCCTTCCCCCTGTCTCAGTATGGACTGGAACACTATAAGCATCTCTGTGCACAGGGCATCAGCCCTTCTCTCACTCAGAACAGTTTTCTGCTCCCCTTGCCACTTTTCCTCCCTGGGGTCAACAAGGAACAGCTCTGCACTGCCAGCAGTGAGCTTTGCCATCCTTGGGCAAAGGATGTTTGAAGTGCTCTGTTTCCCAGCCCAGTGCACAGCCCAGCCTTGCTGGCCAAGGTGCAGGGCTGCAGCCAGAGCAGGGCAGCGCAGGCAGCCACCAGCAGCACCCCGGCAGGGCACAGCACGGCACGGCACGGCACAGCACACCATGCGACATGGGCCGAGATGCAGGAAGACTTTTCCTTCCACTTCTGCTGCTGCAGGTCCCCGCGGGAAGGATAAGTGCTATATTCCTCCCGCATGCAGCCTATTTCCCATTTCCTTCCCAGTTTTCCTATATGTTGTATTTATTTTGATTTTTAAGTGAAAACAAGTTTTTACTCAGCTGTTTAAGGCAACTCGCCCTCCATCTGGTTTGTACTGTACATCATCACCTATTGTCCTGCCATGAGCCAATTTCTAAATGTTTCAGCTGTTGATGGCTGTTGGCGATGATGTATGAAGCAGAAACAAAGCCAGAGTCACAAAGACTTCAAAAAGGCCGAAGATAACTAAGAACATTGTTTTGACTAAACACAGACATGTGCACTGAGAAGCTGCAACTTCTTCCAACCTTGCTCTCCCTCTCTGGAGCCACCTTTTAATTTGTTGCAGTTGCACAAATGATCTCTGTGTGTTAGGAGTTCAAAGGAAAGAGCCAACCCCAAAACATCTTGATGCGCCACCACCTTAAAAGACATTTCTCTGATGAAGTTACGAAAACAGGCTCTAATGCCTCAGAAAGACGATGACTTTCAAAGTAACATGTAAAAGCCTTACGACTTGTTCACAAAGCAAACCCAAAACATATTCCAGCTCAGCTAAAGTTAATTATTTTTTCAGGAACCATCTATCACCGGCAGAGACAGCTAGGGTGTAGAAGGCAAACATCCAAGGGCTAGCTTGGGCTGAGACAGCACAGTCTGCCATCCAGACTCGCACGGAGAGGGGTTAGAGCACAGAACTGAATGAGAAGACTGAATTTGTGTCCCACGGCATTTCTGACCAACCCACTGCAGAACCACAGGTAAGTCACTGAGTCCCTGAGTCCCGGTTTCTTCGATGGAAAATGCTGATAATGATGTTTATTCTATTTTCTAACAGATTTTGGATAAAACATGCTCACGACTATAACACACACTGGTCACTTCAGCCATCTTTGTGGAAATTAATAAAAAGAAGAGACACCTTAAAACCTTTGTCAGGTATCAAAGGTTACGCTGCACTTTATCCTCTGATGATACCTTTAACTCTCTTTGTATATGAATGGGATCCCTTTCGAATTTAGACTAATGTTCTTTTATATTTATAATATTCAGGACAGCTACACATGCTTGATTACCTTTAAAACACTTATCATGATTCCATTTAAAAATAAATGAATCCCATTTAAAAGTGACTTGTCCCCATCCTCTAGTATTTATGGACAAGGACATATGGGGCTGATTTCTCTCATTATTAACCAGCATGTCTGAGGCTTAAATCATTTAAATTATTCATTGACAGCAATCGGGCTACTCATGCAAGCTCCCACTTGCACAAGGAGGCCCAGCGATAGGACCAGTCAAGTGGATGAAGACTGCTGAACGATTTTGGGATGCACTGAGCATCCACAGATAAGGGTAACTTCGATTAGGGTGAGGAGTACTTTTGAAAATTGGTCACTTAGCAGGGGTTTTCAGCGTAGTTATTTTGACTGATGTTTTCTTCCAAGGTTACCAGGACTGAAATTCAGAGTGATGATCTCTAATAGCTGAAGGAAATATGAGTGATTGTGCGGTGATTGCCCCAACAAAACCCAAGCCAGCTGCAAGACATTTCTAGAGCACTGAGTTGTGTGGGACTTGCAATCCTGGTATGGGTTTCTGAAGTGGCCAGGCACAAGGTGGGCATCTCTGCAGAACCTGTGCTATGAAAGCTTCTTTGAAGAACAAAGCTGAGCAAGTGAAGAAAAGCATCTCCGAGTAAGTAGCAGAAACTGCCCACCTCTAGCATGAACACTGTTCCAGCACCACTGAAATCTGAGACAGGAGATGGATAAATCAACTGCGCTGTTGAGCTTGGACTTTAATAGTCCAAATGACAAAGGCAGTAAACATTTAACTCTCTGCTATAAAGAGACTTTCCAGCCTATTGCAGACTACTCTGCTCTCTGACCAGCTCACCAGTGGAAGACCTTGAGCTAACCGCCGGTGCATTTTCAATCAGTGCAGTCAGAGGGAGAGAATAGGAATCATCCTTCATGGGAAGAAAAGCTCGTGGTTATTCTTTAGGTTTTATTTTTAATTAAAAAGATATGTTTCTCACTGTCTTCAGAATGAGCCCAAGGAACATTTGTAATCATTTTCAGGTCACATTATATTGTACACACTGCAGCTGGTTTCACAGCTACGTGGGCAGATTACTATTTTTCTGCACACCTAAATCACTATCAAGGTAGCGGCAGACAGGAAGCATCCCCAACATCCAGAGGTTACAATACATCTCATAAAACACAGCCTAGCTCCTGGAAGAGGAAACTTTCAGATTTCAGCCGGGTCTCTCAGCCCAACCTAGGAGCCCCAACCCATACTGGACTTTGTCGCTGTATGTGATCCTGATAGTAAAGGTCATGTTTTGTTTTGTTCCTTTTCCCCCTAAGAAAGGCAGAAAGGTTAGCAAGTCTTTAAACTCGCAGTTCTTAAGGCTGTTAATATTTCACATTGCCAGCAGGGAAAGGAATTAAAACTGCCAGTAGCTATCCAGATAGATTTTAAAATCCCCTTCCCTCCCCCTTCTCTCTGCCTCCCTCAGCTTCAGAGGATATTTTCCCCGCAAATTGGTTTTAAATTAAGGAAGGTGATGAAGGCAATGTGCCGTCTCAGCATTTTCCCAGGTGCACTTAATCTAATTTCATTAAGGAGATCAGGACAGATGATCGCTACAGTCGAAACATTAAGTCTGTCCATTTTTGTATAAAAAACCATTAAGTCTGTCAAAGTGTCGGCGGGTGGGCTGTTTATTATTGGAGATGAAGGCGCGCTTTGCTTCCCCAATAAACTGTCAGGAGTAGTAAACCACAAATTAAGTCAGCTGCTGCCAAAGATTTAGGCAAAGATCTCCAACTAATTTTGACACAGGTGTGGGAAAGGCCAAGGAAATAGAAGCGGTAAGGCAGGCCGTGCACTTTGGAAACCAAGCCTTGTGTGCATGTTTGACGTATTTCCATCCAACCCACTGAAGAGTGGAGAACCGCATCGGTGCGTACGGCCAAGCAGAACTGCTGGAGCTTGTGGCACTCCAGGCACAGCGCGGATGGGAGTGCACAACCGCCTCTGCCTTAACCTGCACTCACCCTGCCGGGACTCATCATTTTGTCTTTGGCAGACACGAACTCATAAAAGCTTCATTTAGCTGCTGCTCTGCTCTGAATGTACGCACAGCTTTAAAACATAAAACCGCTTTCTTCAAATAATCATACAGATATCACACAAAATTAGAGGAAAACCATCAAAATGCAGAAACTACGGAAGACTGTTTAAAAGGCAAGAAAGAAATCAAGTGAAGCTTTCAGATTGAATTTTCAGGCGTTACAAAATTGAATGTGAACCATTTGCCAAGGAGAACACCTTCCTTCTCATGAAAAATGCAGCTAGGTAGAACTTGGTATTAAAGGCTGTCAAGAAATGTTAAAAAGTATAAATCCCTAACAGGAATTACACAGCCTTTACAGGACTTACAGAGAAATTAACAGTCCCTAAGATGGCATCAGGAGGGATGTTCTAGCTGGAGCTTTGTGATGAAGGAAAATTACCATGTTTGCAGGTAATGTGTGCTATGTACTGCTCTGAGACTTATTTACAAACACTTATTTTAATCTCTCTGGCTCTGAGTTTTCTCTGTTTAAAGAGTACCTCACTCTGGTTGGTGTCTGTGGAAAACCAGGGCTCTATTTCTTAGGGACTCCTGCCCATGAGGGCGTACAGCAAAGGCAGGGCGGTGCCAGCTCCAACATCTCCCCTGAGGCAGGGTGCCATGGCAAGCTCCTTACAGAGCTCTCAGACACAAGCAGCAGCTGATAAGCAGCTGGTAAGTTAAAACAACATCTGATAAGCACTGGGAGACTCACCTGGGTGAACGAATACCCATTTCAATCATCGTGCTTTAAGTAAAGGTGAATTCCCAAGCAAGGTTAGGCAAATGTTACTTCTAGTCTTTACTACTTACTGATCCAAATGTTGTTTCCTCTTACACACCTGGAGACCTCTTGTAGCAAAAACTAGTTTGGATTTTATTGCAAATTGGACCCAGAAGCAGGAACTGTTGGAAAGCTACAAAACCCAAAGCTGACTCTCGGGCCATCCACGAGTTTCACCCTTTATGTTTGCATAGGGCACCCAGTGCTGCCTGCTAAGCTCTTCTGTTTTATTTAATCTGGTAAAATGATTTTGGAAACAGTTACGAGAACCTGCATGCCAAATGAGGGACTGCAATTGCAGCTACTGGAGTATGCATCCTCCAAAATCTTCTCATCTTCTTGGCATCTTTACGGTTAATTAAATCGTTCAATTATAATGCCAATTCCTATCTGCTGCCTACTATGTTATGCTAATCACCAGAATACCTCATCATCTTCCAAGGAGTTACTGCCATTGCACAGTTAGCCCTTTGAATTCGTGGCTTTGCTGTAATGGGGCTTCTTGATGTGGGCAGACAGCTGTTCAAGATTGCTCTCTTCCCTGCTGCCTCAGATCTTAGAAGTGTCTTCACAAGGTCCCCAGTAAGATAAGAAAATGCTCATGGATGGGGAACTGAACTGGGAGATGTTAAACAATAGAAAACCCAGAGAGCTGGGAAATGTTGACTGCCAGCAACAGAACTGGTATTATCCTGTCTTGCCCAAGAGCTCTCCATACGATCTCTCAAGTCCTTTTATGTGAGTTAATGATGGACTTCTGTCAGCAAACTACAAGGCCCTTCTCATTGTTTGCTGTGAAAAAGAAAATTCTACATTTTCAAGAATGAATATGGACACCGCAGCCCCTGATGACTCAGCTTGTTACATACAGACCAATGCACTTAAAATTTGAGTTTTTGTCCGGATAAAGGAAAAACAAAATCTCAGTAGGAGGGGAGAACACTGGTGCCGAAGCTTTGAGTCTGGTTAGTTTTTTCAATTACATTCTTGCTTTCCTTAAATTCTAGGAATACCAAGGTCAAGAAGGGCCATTGTTACTACAGCTTCTTACTGCAGTTCCAGACGCTCTTGTTGGGAAGGACAATTTGAAGCACGCCTTAACCTGGCCTACCTCAATTGCCCTGCGTTTAGGTGGAAGCCCTTCTGTTCACTCTGTGCACAGGGTGGGTGGAATGACAGAAGCCCATGGAAGCCAAGGCTCTCCTCCAGATGGAACATCCCAAGCAGTGACTGAGTGAGCTGGCTATGCAGTGGGCCTGCAAGATGCCATTTTGCTGGTAAATCTGTTCATGGAGAGCTACAAAGTAAATTCACGGAGCTGTGAATTTCTGTCTTCCTGCAATGACAGCGACATTACACTTCTGGTTTATAGCACCCAAATCTTTCAAGGGCTACAAGGTTATTTTAGACGCATTATTTTGGTATTCTATAAAAAGCAGATCTGTTTTTAATAACGGCGTGAGGCTTGTCTCTCAGAGACTTTCTTCAGTTAAGAGAACTGACAGCCTTTACCCAGCTCTTATTTTATAAGAGTCAGGTTTCTAACTGGTTTTCACGCCGCATCACTGGGTTTTCAGTCTGTAAGAATTAAGTTTTAGAAGAAACACAGATTCTGCGTATCAATGTGCATGCACACGTGTATATATTACATTGCTGCAAGCTGCTAAGCCAGCAACACAGCCAAAGTACATGCTTCCGCAACGGCAACGCTCTGTGTAAGCAAGAGCATACTACAGGAAAATAACCACTTAAATACTGTGTGAAAACCCAGCTGGGAAGTAACTGGCAAATGAAGATTTCTAGTTATTAGTCACAGCTGAAAACTGTCATAGCTTGAAGTGTAATGCTAACAGAAGAACAAATGCTGCCATGTGACAGCCCTCGGTTCCATTCTGTGTTTTATTTCTGCTGCAACCAGTAAGAATTGGGGTTGCCAGAGAAGTACCAGGCTTCATTTCTTGGAGAAAGGGACAATCTAATGATGGACTCAAAAAAATGAGTGGGGAGGGAAGGACAACCCTGGCCTGAGTAAGCTTCAAAAATAGCAAATAACTGATTACTTGTAGTGGGAACTGAACTTCCAGCCAAATTTCCAGTCTCGTGGAAACAAGACATTTATGAGAGTTATCAGGTGGAACCCACTTCTTCCATTGCTAGATAAACTGTGAGGAGTGAGGAGAAAGCAGCCTTCAGCAGCAGTGCTATTCATAATAGCCCCTGTGGACTTCAAATGAGTGGCACTGGGGCATTCAGGGACCGAGGCTTATTCCAGCCCCACAGAACAACGTGCTGATCTTGCACTGATGCATTGCCAAAGGAGGCCGTGACAGCAGGAGAGTGCAAAGGTGCAACAAAACACACAAATTTGGGTTAACGTTGGCTGTTTGGGAACACTGTGCTGCTTGGCTTCTCCTCCCATGCTGGACTTCCAGAGTTGCTCACAGTGTCTTCCCAGATCTCACCTTCCTTGACCACCAGCTACCTGACACAGCACTTCCCTCCCTGGGCCTCAGCATCTCCTCTCCTCTCTTCTCCTGCCTCTGTAACTGCTCCTGCTATTTTGAGCATCATTGAGACAATCTTTAATCTGGTGTCATGGGGCTTTTATCTTATTCTGGGTAATCTCATACACAAACACAGACACAGAAACCACTTCTGGTAGAGGAACTACTAGATCTCTCATTGTGATTACATCCCTTTCTCCTGCTGCTTAAACTATGATTTTCCTCTGGGTTTGTAGACACCCCTTCAAGGTCAACACAGCTGAAAAAGAACTGATAATTTCACCCACACAGTTTGCTCTCCTCGTTGCTTCCACTCTTATCGCTTCCACCTCTCACTCAAGCCCATAGTTCTCAGCACTCTGTTTGACTTGCATCACTCTCCACATCTTAACATCCAAGCTGTGGTTAAGTCCTGTGTATCTGTTTTCTTTACAGCGAGCATCTTCTGTTTATCCACACAAATACACTCTTGGTCAAGCTCTCAGCACCTCACCGTACATTTACCATTTTATCCTTCTGGTGATGGCAGATATAACCGTGTCCTTGCACCCACGGAGAAAGCTGCCACTACGATCATTTTCCTTGTCTGTGGCTTTGCTCCTTACACAGCTTCCACTTCCCATATTGTGAACTCTTGGTTTTCATGTTTTGGCTCCTTCACAGCTTACCTCTACTTCCCAACACTGACACTCAGTAAAAGTATCAACCCTCATCTCTAACTGGCCACACGTGATCACCCACTTATAAAACTCAAATTACCACCTCCTTACTACGCACCTCTACGCCTTTTGCTACAGAGAATAACTTCCCATTCACAGCCAGAAATGTACCTGGTTTTCTTTGTCAAATGCCTCCTAAAACCTACCCCGTTACCTCAACACCTACAAAACAAAGGCCGGACAACAACGGGGCTGCTGACATACTGACACAGTGCAGCTCTTAATGCTGTGCCCCCCATTTATCTGAAGTCCCTTCACATTTTCTGATCCACGAGCTGCTCCGCATCCATACGGCACGGAGCAAGATGGGAACCCAGCCCATGGCCCTGCCATGTGCTCTCCTCCCAGGCATTAAGTGCTAAATCTCACCTGCCCATGAGCTGCTGCACGCTTCCAGGCAACTACTGGGCCTCAGAAATTAGCACAGCAAACATCAGCAAGGCAGGGCTGAATTCAGATCGCCCTAAGCAAGGCCTGATAAACTCACTGTGCTGTTGGACAAAGCAGCATAGAAGCACTATTTCAGAAACCTGACTTCAAAAGTTTTTGCTTTCGCCTCAGATATGGCTTTGCCAGTCTTACTTGATATAGCTGAAACAAACACAAACTACATAACAAATGTACAGAAAATACCGATTCAACTTAGAAACACAGTGTCATTTTTTGTACATCTTACTTAGCACCACATTAAATAAAGGAAAGTCTGATATCTAACCCCTGATTTGGAGAGCTCACTTACACTCTGGGGCCATGCAATTAAGCTGACAACCCACAATTTCACATGCTGCAGACAGAAGTCCAAGATTGAAAGAACACGAACACTGCATTACTTTGAAAGAAACCAGCTTTTTTAATGCAATCTTGAACACTGTTATTAAAAAATGAGAACTACATTTTGGAGTAACGAGCAGAGATTACTCATTCCCTTGTTTTACACAAGTTGACTTTTGGCTTTCTGCAGAACACCATTTAACAGAGCCCATTACCAAGCTGCTAGCCACTTTTCATAGTGATGCTAAAGCAGGTAAGAGACAATAAGTGGAACTGTTGATGGTTTATATTACTCTATTATGTTAATGTTCACTAAAGTATGCCATAAGCTCTCTCATTACATGTGTATAAACCAATTCTCTGTGGTGTTATTCCTGTGCTAAATGCTATAACTACATAAATCTTGAATTAATGGAGACTTTATAGTTCCTGAAAATGAAGGGTAATTGCTATCTGTTAATGCTGTTGTTGCTATTAAAGGAAGTATATATTTTCAGTAACAATGTTTATGGACCGTGAGCCTCGCATCGCAGCTATTGCACAGTGCAGAGATAGTGTAATACGATTATCAGACTGACTCCCTTTCTCTCCCTCCTCCCTCACAAAAAGCACAATATCATTTCCACATCTTTGACAAACTACCCTGCAATTCTCTTAGTTTTGGACTCTGCAACTGCTATGTCCTTCAATGAACATATAGTAAAAGAAACAGGATTTGCATTTCCATCTCTGGGAACGCACGATTTGCTAAGTTTCTCGCTTGGTTAAATGGCTGGACAGCTCGGTTTATTAGTTTGGGTATTTTGAACAGTTCTTTGAGAAGAGTGCGGTGACATAATGATAGGTGTGAGAAAGTATCACCCCACTTCCTTTGAGATCTCAGCAGTGATGCAGAAATGAAAAGTATACCTGGGCAGAGACAGTTCTCAGAAAGTAGACGGGATGGACAAGTCCCCAGACTTGAGCTCCTGTTCTCTGATTATTAAAAACAGCAGTGCACTGTTTGGAAACCTTCTCACAATCTGCTGTGAAACTGTACCTTGCACTGAAGTAATGACTCCTCCATTCTGATATACTGTACCTATGACTGACTATGCTCAATTACTCTTCTCCCCTGGAGTCCTGCACAACACTGTATAATGGAAAAAAACATCACCAGTGTGTTTACATTTTTCAATGCAGTGAAGGTAAGGCCTTAATTTTGCTCTAAAGTCTGTGTTTTAAAACATTAAGAGCTCAATAGCCCATATAGCTATGAAATAAATAAATAGTGGATAATTAGCAGCATGGTGGAGAGAGAGATGTGGGAGGTGGAAAATTTCAGTTCTACTTCTAGCTCTATCACTGACTCAGTCTGTACTTGTATATGAACTTCTTTGTCATTTTTCCTCCTGAGTTATGCACAGACAACAGTGATCCGCTGTTTATGACTAACAAAAAGTGTTATGCAAATCAAAAGCACATTAGTAATTCCTGCCCTGCCCTTCATTAGTGTCGGTGCGTGTAGGTGTACCTAGAAAAAGCTGCTTCTTGCTGACCAAGCAGCAGAGCAGGACTGTTCTGTAGCAGTGTGGTATGAAGCCGACCCATCATGTAATTTGGGAAGCCTGATGCTGGGCCAGACAGTATGTCGAATGCTCCATCTGGCTGTAATAGCCAGGCAGCAGTACAGAAGATACAATTCTGCCAACAAATAGAAGGGGGGAAAAACACTCTTCAGTATAATCCCTCAGGACATTCATGCCAATATTTTTAGAGCTCCTTGTTGCATCAGCCAGGTTAAGTTTTAGACAAATACTGAATGACTTTCCAGGAGAGTATAGTATGTCAGGTACCAGCACAGAGAGCCAGGCTGCCCTTGTGCTCCCCAGCGGGAAGGCAATGTCACGTTTACATTATCCCCCTGAAAGGTTTGAAGTCTCTTCACTTCAGCTTTGGTGAGTTTACATGCACGTGCACACATCTTTGCTGACAAGAAAAGGAACCCTACTTAATTCCAGAGACCTTTTTAATGGAACCTGTGTCGTGTCTCATGTCTCTACAGATCAGGCAGAGATAGAAAGATGATGATCTTGTGCTGCTCTCCTTACGAAGAAAAGAAATGTTACTGTTAAGGTGGAGTCACCTTAAGAGAAAGGTACCTGAGAAATACAGGAGCCTAGAAGGTCATATTACTGTTACAGATATGTAAAGAAATGCCGTAACAATGGTAAGAAACACTATTATAGCCTTTCATTTGCTGTAAAGGACAGTAAGTTACCAGCCAAACACAATGCAGCTTCCTCTGAAGGTAACCTCAGATCCCACATTCTGAAAGCTAATCAATGTTGTTCAGATTTCAATTTCTTCTCTACAAGGTGAAGTCAAACCTAATCTAACAAATGTCAGTCTCAGATGTAATGCTGCTAGCTGGGTCTACCAGTGTAATTTAGATAATCATTAATAGCATAGCTGTATAATAAAACTACATGTCACTTACAACTTCATCTGAGGTTTGACTGGCAGATCTTTAAACAGTTTTCTAAGTGACTGCTTTTACTTTCTTTGATTGGGCAGTCTAAGAAATGTTTTAACCCCATGGTATCTAAGCTTTTAGGGAATCATTTTTCACCCTCACCACCTCAGCCAGCAGATCTGCTGGCTGGTAACTTTGTGGGAAACAGAACTTGGGTGGTGGTCACAGGGAGTGACTTTATACATATATGCACATGCATAATATAAAATATGCATGGTGTCTTTCGTTCAATGTATAAAATTTAGACATTCCTCTTCAATCAAGCTTTCACCTCAAACACACTTTTGCATATTCCAGGGATACTGGGTATTTGATGGGATTTCTAAAAGAAGATCAAGAAATTTTAATGCTTCCCAAGGTCTAACAATATTAAAAAAAACGTAACCAGAAGCAGCTTTCAGTGCAGTCTCTTGAACTCACGGTAACCTCCAATGGATGGCTGCAGCCAAGCGTGCTGCCAAGGAGAGAGGGCTATCTGAAGTCAGTTTTTAGCTCTGTAATGCTGATCTAGTAGAAACCCATGTGCCACAGCTTCTCATGAATGAATGTAAGAGACTGGACAGCCAAAATATAATGAAAGTTTGATGAAGACCTAACCTGAGACTGCCAAGTTTGATCTGCCAGAACAAAAGTCAGCAAGGGATACTCAAGTCTTTCATACATTTGATGCTTAAAAGCAGGGTGCAACTGTTGCTATGTCATGGTACTCTTCTATTTTCCTTCCACAGGTGAAACAAGAAATCCCTATACAAAACCATACAACTACAACCTTTCAATGGCCAACCTCTGTATCAAAAGAAAAGGTCAGAAAAATCATTGCTCTGTGATAAATATATATGCAACATGACAAAACACTCCTTGACAGATACCACGCTGCCTTTGAGGGTAGGTACTGGTTGTCCCACCTTCTAAACTGATTACAAAACTGACATCTTCAAAGGTTGCTATAAATAAAATATAGTCTCCTGACAAGTTATCAGAGGAGACTTCCTCTGAAACAGCACTAACACTAACGCTATGACTTGGGTCTCACCAATTGCTCGCGTTAATTGAACGACTGTTCTGTTAACAAGAGTTTCTTTTCTGTAAGCTAGTGAAGACCACAAAGTATCTGATCCAATA